CTCCCATTGACAGTTACATCAGTTATCTTGTGTTTATTTAGACAAAGTTCAACCTTCAGTCTATACCATCTCAACTCCTTCTCTATACATGAGTACTTTTTAGCTTTGTTTTATTCGGCTTTTCTAGAAGAGCTGTCTGAGCATCGATAGGATTTATGTTGGTGATACTCCCTTCAACTAGGATCTCAAATGTTAGGTTTTTCTTTTTTGAAGAGCTTCTTATTTTTTAGCTTCAGAAAGGAAGCTGAACTTATCCTTAGAGGTACGAAAAAGGATTTTTACTCTGGTAGAGTTCAGCTCTGCAAGGAAACTTTAGATCTTCACCATTGCTGATTCTTCGGCTTCAGATATAGCATGATGAGAGCCGGAGGATCTATGAATTAGATATGTATTTTCTTCTTCTTCAGTGTCAAATTCTTCTAAGACAAACCATGGAAGATCATCTTTAGCTTCAATGTCTGAATGATCTGTTGCTGACTCTTATGGAGGGGACTCACATGGAGAGGAGGAGGAGATGGTTGTAGAAGAAGGCAGGATAGCTAGGATAACTGATGGTTCTGATATAGGTAGAAGAGAGAAGGGAAGAATTTTGAGAGATTGAGGGAATAAAGTCACCTTAAAAATACATACTAAGGGGAGAGATGTAGTATGTTCTTCAGATATAGGAGAGGAGGGTTCAGAACTTACATCATGTTCTTTCCCTTTTCTTGAGGCAGAAGGCGGTTGTTTCTGAGTCTTCTCCCCCTGGGATGATGCTTTAGAGATGGTGATTCTTTTTGAAGAAGTGATAACACATTGTTGAATTATGAAATCATCATCATCATCATCATCACTATCATCTTTCTTGTTCTTGATGATCTTATTAATCCCAGATCTGATAGTAGAGTAATGTAAAGGAATTTAAAAAGAGATTTGTAGAAGAAGATGAATAGAAATCGACCGCCGCTTTCTTTATTGAATGGAAAATACAATCTCTCAAAAAATCTAATCGACTCTCATTGATGTGTTTGTATCTGTGTGTTACAAAGTGTTGATAATTCATCTCACTTCTATTCTATGCCTGTATCACTTCTTATATAGGCAATATTTTACATGATAACTGAATCCTATAAATAAGGTAACTAAATCCTATAAATAAGAAAATAAACATCATCGAAAATTGGATCAGCACCATCCTTCAAGATTCTGAAGATGGTCATCCAAAGCATAGACCAACCAGAAGGGTTATGGAGATGCGCAGTTCATCGCACCTATGGACGTTCATCGCACCTCTGGTCGTCCATAGGGGCTCTGGTCGTCCATAGGGGCTCTGTTCCTAAAGGACTTAGAGTCCAAAGTCTCTGGTCAATATAACCAGAGGCTCTAGTCGTCCATAGGGGCTCTGGTCGTCCATAAGGGCTCTTGATTTATCATTCATGGACGTCGATAAGATCCATCCATTTAGCAGCACGAGTTGGAGATAAGCGGACTCGAACCGCTGACATCCGCCGCAGGGTAAACCACCGCTTCTCAGGTCCCCCAACTGATTCTACCATAGAGGCCAACGATAGACAATAACYCCMCCCCCCCCCCCCGAACACAGCTTACAACTTGTCTTCTACCAGACTTAGTCGTTTTAGCATAGCAGCATCTTCAGATCTTCCATCCTTGGCCCCGATTGCTTTGATAAAACTTTTAGAATAATTAGGATCAATTTTGGTCCTAACAGATCTCAATATCATCTTCTTCTTCTTCGTCTTCGTCTTCATCACCTTTAGCCCTAAAATTCAATTTGGGTTGTTTTGTTTTTTAAGCCCATATTTTTTAGCCCTTTTATTTTTCATTTTTTGTGGCCCAATTTGTCTTAGATTTTTTTAAAGGTTTTTCTTTGTTTTTTTTTTTTGTTTGCTTTTTAAGTGTTTTGTAATTGTGGTGGTGGCGGTTGACAACGGTGGAGGAGGTAGTTGTGGTTGATGTAGTGAAGATAGTGGTGGTGGTGGTGGTTATGGTGGAGGTGAGGTAGCAATGAATGGTGGTGGCTGATGGTGGTCGTGGAGGTCGTGGAGGAGGTTGTTGCAAGTAGAGGAAGATTTTAAAGTGGCGAACGGTGGTAGTGGTGGTGGCAATATACGGTGGTGGTCGGTGGTCAACTATGGTAAAGGTGGCAATGGACTTGGTGGACAGTGGTTGTGGAGGCGGTGGAGGATGGTGTTGTAGTGAAAGAGAAGATGAAGGTGGAGGTGGTCGTCATGACCGTCGGTAGTGGTGGCGGCGGCCAAAACTAGCGGTGATGACCATTAAAACAAATACCATTTTAAGGTTATATATCGAACTAGGGTAGAATAGTAATATTTTAGTTTCTGTCTCATTCTTGTTCCACATATTTTGGTGGAACAAGAAAAAACCTCTTTTGTCTTATGTTGTCTCACCTTGTCCCAGTTCTTGTCCCTGTCCCATGTCGCACCAAACGTGGGACAGTGGGTTCTTGTTCTATCCCATGCTGCGCCAAACATCGGACAGTAGGTTTTGTCCCGTCCAATCCTGTCCCGTCCCATGTACCAAAATGTAGCCTGTGGTTGCTATGATCCTTTGTCTTATCCTTTGTTTTTTCCCAACGGTGAGTCTGGATGGCATGCTAGAACACCCATACATGGAGTGTGCAACGATGAAATTGTTAATGATGACGAAAACTTCGACGAAGATCTTGAAGGTACGAACATTATCACATATATTTATTACCTTATTCACTCATTTATTAATCTATACTATTCAAAATCAACACTATGCAGAGTTTAGCTTAGGAAGGGGTAGGAAAACTGTAATGATGCGAGATTATTATTGTTACAAGTTCCAGATTCGGTAGAGTAATAACGTGATTCTATTACGGGGAAGATTATTTCAACAGTTTGTGGTAGATATGTACAACAAGATAGAGACTGCATGTTTGTCTTTTATTATAAAGAATCAAACGAAGATAAAATCAGATTTATACCAAGTTGTTGTGGATTGCGTCAATACCAGTGAGGTTCAACCAAGTAGAGTTGGACAACGGGTTATGCTTCCTACAAGTTTTATCGGAGGCCCGCATGATATGTGAAGAAGATTTATGGATGTTATGACTTTAGTTCAAGATGACGGGAAGCACGATATATTTCTTACCATGATGTGTAATCCAAAGTTACATGAAATCCTTACAGAGTTATTGCCTGATCAAACCGTGCAAGATAGGTAGGACCTTGTTGCAAGAGTTTTTCGTGCCAAATTAGAGGATCTTAAAAATCAGCTCTTCAAGAAGCACATCCTCGACGGGGTTGGGGCATTTGCTTATGTCATCGAGTTTCAAAAACATGGTTTGCCACATGCACATATCCTCATGATAATGAAACCAAAACACAAGATTACAAATCAAGACCATTACTACAAGATAGTGTGTGCTGAAATCCCGAACCCCTGAAATGCACGAGCTGGTGATAAAGCACATGATGCATGGTTCTTGCGGTCATTTACGACAGACTAGCCCTTGCATGGAAGGTGAGCCTAGAAAATGTCGTTTTAGATATGTTCAACAATTCAACGACAAGACGACGCAAACAGATAACTCATATCCGATGTGTCGGACGAGAAACAATGGAATAAAGGTGAACATCCGGGGCAATATCCTTGATAATAGATGGGTGGTTCTATATAATCCAAGTTGCTAATGATGTTCAACTGTCACATCAATGTTGAGATTTGCTCAAGTATAATATCTGTGAAATATGTCTTCAAGTATGTTTACATCATGACAAACAGGTTATTCATGTCGACCATGATAGGGAAGAGGTCATTATTAATGATATAAAGAGATTTCAAGATGTACGATATGTTTCGCTACCGAGGCGATTTGGCGGATTTTTAGCTTTACACTTTCTCAAATCCACCCTTGTGTGATGGCTTTGTAGGTCCATCTTCCGAATAAGCAGTTCGTTAGGTTCAGAGAGAATGATATAATGATAAATATTGTTGATAGAGAGAGGGATAAGAGCTCAATGTTGATCGCATTTTTTGAGAGCAATAAAACAAATATGATTGCGAGACAATATTTATACAAAGATTTTCTGAAACATTACACGTGGAATGATATCCCACGTAAATGGAATCCTCGAAAACAAGGATCAATGAGAGGACAGCTGGTTTATGCTAATCCTGCCGAAGGAGAACGATATAATCTACGCCTACTTCTGTCTCATATTAGTGGGCCCACGTGCTTTGAAGATCTTTACACGGTTAATGGCATATTACATCCAACATTTCGAAAAACATCTCTTGAGAGAGGGTTAATAGAGACCGACGATAATTTATCGCATTGTCTTACTGATGCCTCCTTATTTCAGTTTTCCAATGCTCTTAGACGATTATTCACGACGATCTTGATTTATTGTGAGCCAGGAGATGTTCACAAGTTATGGGATGAACATTATGATTCACTCTCTGAAGATTATAGACGACACTACGAAAATATTGAGGGAGTCCGAAGTATGGTTCTTACAGACATCGCAGTCTTTTTACAATCTATGGGTAAGAACCTAGATGATTTTAATCTTCCAAGTTTAAATGTAGCTGCCAATTTAGAAGCACGAGGAATACGTGAGGTACAAGAGGAGTACTCCATAATTGTGCAAGACAAAGACTTACATGCCCGAAACTCTCTAAATTCCGACCAGAAACATGCATTTGATGAGATCATGAGGCATGTAGATAATGATTGTCCAGGTGTGTTTTTTATAGATGGACCAGGTGGAACTGGAAAAACATTTTTTTTACAAAGCTTTGCTAACTAATGTTCGTTCCCATGGACTTATTGCTCTCGCAACCGCTTCATCCGGTGTTGCCGCTAATAACATGCCGGGAGGGAGAACATCTCACTCTCGGTTCAAGATTTCCCTTACTCTTAGTAATAATTCGGTGTGCAATATAAAAAACAAAGCGGAACTTCTCAACTGCTCTGAGCTGGAAAAATAATCATTTGGGATGAAGCATCAATGGCAAAGAGGCAGACAGTAGAGGCACTCGATAGAACAATGCAAGACATCACTGGGGTGAGACTCCCATTTGGTGGGAAAATAATGATTATGGGAGGTGATTTTAGACAGGTGTTGTTAGTAATGAGACATGGCACTGGAGCACAGATTGTAGACTCCAGCCTACAAATGTCACCTATTTGGTCTTCGATTAAAAAGTTGCGGTTAACGATCAATATGAGTGCACTTACTAATCTGTGGTTTTCGGATTTTCTATTACGAGTCGGCGATGGAAATGAAGAATCAGTAGATGGACACTTTATTCGCATACCTGATGACATGGCCATTCCTTACACCAATAAAAATGAATTGAATGATGCTTTGATTGATGCAATCTTTCCTTCTCTTCAAACCTGCGAGACTGCTTCAGATTATATCATTTCAAGGGTGATACTAACAACTAAAAATGAGTATGTCGACGAGATTAATGATAAGTTGATTGAAAGATTCTGCAGAAAGGAAAAAATTTACTATAGTTTTGATGAAGCAGAAGATGATAAGAATAACTTATATCCGATGGAATTCTTAAACTCACTAACTGTTAGCGGTTTGCCCCCTCATTACCTGCGGCTTAAAATTGGATGTCCGATAATACTTTTATGGAATATCGACCCCTCAAATGGATTGTGTAACAACACGAGGTTGATATGTAGAGGTTTTTAGCATAATGTTATCGATGCAGAAATAGTTGTTGATCGGCATGCTAGTAAGAGGGTATTTTTACCAAGAAATTCCTCTATGTTCGTCTGAAGATGACATGTTTCCCTTTAAATTAAAGAGAAAACAATTTCCCGTTCAACTTTGTTTTGCCATGACAATCAATAAAGCTCAAGGGCATACAATTCCGGTGGTAGTATCTACCAGAATCGGTATTCTCGCACGGCCAACTTTACGTGACATTGTCCAGAGGGATATCACGTGGTAATACAAAGATATTAGTAAAACCTATCAAAAAGTTCAATCAGGAAGAAGTCTACACATCAAATGTGGTGTATCAAGAAGTTTTAAATGATTCTTGTGTATGATTAAAGCATGATTCTAATTTCTACTTTGTTCAAACATAAATTTTAGACTTTTTGAATGAGAAATTGCATTAATTTTTTCATTTTTGGATTTATGATACAAATGTGAACCACCAAGTATTTCAAAGATATTTCGTAAAAAAATGATATTTAAAAGTTGAATATATCTTGATAGAACATTTACATCCCACCGCATTGCATGAGTAGACAACTAGTGTGTGTGTGTGTGTGTGTGTATATATATATATATATATATATATATATGTGTGTGTGTGTGTGTGTTTTCTCGTCTTGCTAAGCATGTTTCATAACTAGTACTATACCATGTTATATGTAGATGTTATATGTTGGATGTTTTTACTTGTTATTAAATACTTGTTCACTTTTTGTAATAAAGTTAGTGATTGTGAAGATGTCTAATGGCCTTCAAAGTTTTTAATTTTTATACTGTTAGACTGTTGATGGTGGTTAATATGTGGAGGATTTGCATTGATTTACCTTCGCTAAGGGTTTCAATAATAGAATTTGAGGTCGATAGATCACTGATAGACTTTTCCTCAGGTGACGGTCAATCAACCGTCATCAGCCACATTTTATCCGATCCGTTGATGATGGGTTTTTTCTCGCAGACTACCGACAGTGAAATCCCTTTGTTTTGTAGTGCATTTTTTGACATCTCATTACATCGCGCAAGTAGTAATTACCATTTACCACTCCTGATTTCATTACACCTCATGTTCTTCATAATTCATATGATCACTTCCATTTGCATGGAAACTAAAACAGCACCATGAACGAAACCCATATAAAATGGAGCAGAAAGGGTAAAGTGTTACGATCAATCATATCATCCATGGTTGATGATAAAGTTCACAACATGATGGAAGTACAGAAAGAAGATAATGTGGTCAGAAAAGAGTCGTTTAATTCTGTGTTTAAAAGGGATGCTTGGTTGGGGTAAATAGAGGCTGAGAATCATTTGATGCAATTTAATAGACCATTACCAAATACTGATGATTTTCATTTTCATTCCCTCAAACACCTTTTATTTATAATAAAATAACAATTCAATTTTCAAACAAATTAATATCTGAAAAGAAAAAAAAAACAGACGAGAACCAACCAGGAATCACTTGGGAAAAACGATATCTTAAAAACATAGAACCAAAGGTAGCAAGCAACCCAGAACGATTACTTTGCCTACGAATGAGTAATATATATATATATATATATATATATATATATATATATATGCAAGGATGACAACTCGCGATTTGTTCTCATAGAAATCCATCTTAGACTATATACATGTTCAAAAGCTAGCTACCATTGTTGCATTCACTATCACATTTGGGATTTTGTTAAAGAATAAAAGGAAGAAGAAGCATACCTACTCTACTTCCAACCCAATTTTATCATATCAGATATGTATAATCTATCAGTCATCTTTGAACTTGATCCGATGGTGCAGAGTCAACACCCCATTTTCCTTGTGGATCTAATGGTTCTATTACTTTAACAGATCCGTCTGTTAGTCCTAATGCAAACTGATTCGGTTCTTGTGGATGTGCAGCAACTACAGCTGGGTATGCAGCTGGACCTTGGGTTCTGCATGCCATATATATGTATATATTTCATGTTAAATCAAACTCAAACAGGATGTCAACTAGGAAACTCTACAACAAAAGTAATACAAAACTACCAAATTGTACCAGATGTAATGGCCAAAACTACTTGGCCATGAATAACGATGGCTCATATTAATATAGGAAACCACCTACTCAGAGGTACGTAGACCAAGAGTAGAGTAGAGCAGTTGTTTCCATGAAAAGAGTGTGAAAGCGAAATATGCAAAAAAAAAAAAATAACAAACATAAGCAGGTATATGAGAAACAAGAAGATAATGTTGACAACCTATAATATAGTGATTTGAATTTTAAGTTCAAGTTGTATTAGCATTAACAACTTCAGAAAAAGTGAAAAGAATGGAAAGAAAACCAAATTGTGGATACGTGCGAGTAGGAATATAGCAATAGCTAAAAAGATCAACTCTTTGTCCAAGAACAACACTAGTAGAAGAAGGTGGCGAGTAGTTTTGGCAATGAGTCATCAGTTCATTAATCATAAGCTTAAACCCAATCAGTTTTCATCCTTAGCATCAGCCCCTATTTCAAACTGCAATTGAGGGGAGAAGTTTCTGTATATTCTTCTGAAACAGAATAAAAGGAGATAACTAACTATGGTTACCATCTATCTGTACTAATCATAGTTACAACTAACTGTTAAAAACTAACTTACAACTAGTATAAAGACAAAACTACCCTTCATTCTTGAGTCGGTCTTAGCCCCGCTTCCCACCAAGACAAGTGATCATCTCCCTCTCTTTCCAGGTGAATGTTCTTGTTTGCTTAATGGAGTCCTTTACATGACTCGTATCACTTACATGAAGCTTTCAGGGATTTATGTGATGGTAGAAGCAAGAAATGATTGGAACATTTCTTGCTTAATCTCTAACATGATCTGTATGTTACTTATTGGTGTAATTCTAATTACTTCAAGTTTTCTATTGTTGTTATATTGATATTATCATTTGTGTTTGACCTCCCCAGAGATGTGGACACTGTAATGACAATTTGAGTTACCATTTTGGATGATCTCGACTTGTAGAAATTTTAATTCAAACAAGGATATAGGTGCATCAATCTATTGCTATTATTGAGCTGTATAATTTCAAATTTTTGGCCCTTTCTAGTTTTCATTTTTATCCGTTTTGGGTTGGGATCGTAGGTGGGTTAACTACATCTTTCCATCTTGAGACACACACACAGAGAGAGAGAGAGAGAGAGAGAGAGAGAGAGAGAAGGATTTTGATGTAAACTGGTCGTAATCGGTGGTTTTCTATTGAATTGAATTGAAGAAATGGCATTACACGGCTTTCGAGAGGCCGGCTCTCTCGCTCTGAGCTTGCGCCCTTTTACAACTCACAAAACAGAATGAAAGCTAATCTAACAAACTCCCCACTATAAAGAAGTTGTTTCCATTATTCTATTGAGGAATTACCAAACTACCCTCCTCTTATTTACATCTAAAGTAAACTCAACTACTTAGACTTTCTTTTGTACGTAAAGCGAATAGTAGACTTATCAATACCTCCCCCAAAGCTTTCACCTCAAGGTGATTATTTGGAAACTGTCGAGCCAAAGCCTCCGGATTCTCCCAAGTCCACTCGAAATCGGACAGCCCTTTCCACTTGACTAACACTTCCAAACTTCCTGCATCATTTTTTCCTATGGGTCTGACATCCAACAAGGCTTCGGGCTCTACTTGTAACACCATATCCTCAGATACTTGAGTTGATATGTTTTTCGTAACCAAACAATTTCCGACAGCTTTTCTAAGTTGATATACATGAAAGACATAATGTATCCTTACACCCTCCGGTAAGTCTAAACGATAAGCAACTTTTCCAATCTTTTCCAAGATTTTGTAAGGACCATAAAATCTTGCAATCAACTTTGGACTATTCCCGTTCACAAGGGATTTTTGTCGATACGGTCTAAGCTTCAGAAAAACCCAATCACCAACTACAAAATCCACCTCGGTTCTTTTCAAATTAGCTTGTTGTTTCATTCTACATTGCGCCTTCAAAAGATGCATTCGCACCTCGTCCCATGTCTCATCTCGACTTATCAATTCCATATCCACTGATTGTACCACAGCCGAAGCATCTTTATAACGTAATAAAGGAGGAGGATCCCGTCCATATAACACCTTGAACAGAGAACATTTAAGAGTTGTATTGATATGTCGTGCTGTATGTCAGCTCTGCCCATGACAACCATTTGCTCCATTGGCGGGGTCTATCCGAAATCCAGCATCTCAAATACTGTTCCAGCCCTCTGTTCACCACTTCGGTTTAACCATCCGTTTGCGGATGATAAACCGAACTAAATTCCAGAGTCGCCCCTTGCAATTTGAACAATTATTTCCAGAAATTACTTTGGAATACTTCGTCACGATCAGAAATGATTGAATTGGGTATCCCATGCAACCGGATTATCTCCTTAGAAAATACCTCCGCTACCGATTGAGCCGTAAAAGGGTGCTTTAAACCCACAAAATGAGCGTATTTGCTGAATCCATCTACCACCACCAAAATAGAATTCAGACCACCTGAAGTTGGTAGTCCCTCGATGAAATCCATCGAAATATCACTCCAAATCATGTCTGGAAGAGACAACGGCCGTAGTAACCTCGCCGGTGAACCACTTAAGACTTTGCTCCTTTGACATGTCTCGTACTCATTAACCATATTGAGTACGTCCTTCTTCATACCAATCCAGAACAACTCAGCTGCCATTCTTTGGTACGTAATTTCTTCGCCGTTATGTCCCCCGATCGGTGTCGCATGGAATTCTTCAAACAACTTCGGAATGATCATCGATTTTCTTGGCACCACCAATCTACCTTTAAAGAATAACAATTCTTGTCTTACTTCGAAACCTTTATGTCGGCCAACATCTTTCAATACTTCTTCTCTTATTTTGACCAAAAAGTCATCTTTTTCTAGCTCTCCTTTTAAACTTTCCCACTGCATCCATGTTGGCACACTCAAATTAGATAATTCCACCTCTTCATGCTTACAAGAGAGTGCATCAGCAACTTTATTAGCACTTCCTTGATTGTAAACGATCGAAAAATTATACCCCATTAGTTTACTCATCCAATTATGATATTTCAGTTCCACCACTCGTTGCTCTAACAGATAACGTAGACTCTGTTGATCACTGCGAACCGTGAAATGCCTGCCAAGCAGATAGAGTCTCCACTTCTTCACAGCCAACACTATGGCCATTAATTCTTTCTCATAAGTTGACTTTTACCTTGCTCTTGTGCCCAGAACTTGACTGCAATAAGCCACTGGTTGTTCATTTTGCATCAAAACAGCCCCCAACCCTATCCCGGAAGCATCCGTCTCCACCACAAATTCGGCCGAAAAATCAGGCAACTTCAACACGATGATGAAGACAATATTTTCTTCAATTTGCCAAAAGCCTCTTGTGCTTCCTCGGTCCAACCAAATTGGTTTTTCTTTAGTAAATCCGTGAGGGGACTAGCTATAACTCCATATCCTTTCACAAATTTTCGGTAATATCCCGATAACCCTAAAAAGCCCCTTAATTCCATCACGTTTCAAGGTACCTTCCACTCTAACATCGTTTTGATTTTAGAATCATCCACCTCTACTCCTTTACTTGAGATGATATGACCCAAGTATCCCAGTCTTTCTCGACCAAATTCACACTTCTTATTGGCATATAATTTGWATTGAGACAACAATTGGAACACTAATCTCAAATGATCAATGTGTTCTTCCTCCGATCGACTATACACCAATATATCGTCAAAAAACACTAGAACGAACTTTCATAAACAGTTTTTAAAAACCTCGTTTATTAATCCTTGAAAAGTGGCGCGCATTTACAAGACCGAAAGGCATTACCTTAAACTCGTAGTGGCTTTGATGCATTCTAAAAGTTGTCTTTTGTACGTCTTCGTCCTTCATAAGAATCTGGTGATATCCAGATTTCAGATCAAGCTTGGAGAACACTTTAGCACCATATAATTCATCTAGCAGCTCATCGATCACCGGTATCGGGAATTTATCTACCACCGTGGCCTTATTAAGAGCTCTATAGTCGATGCAAAACCTCCAACTACCATTTTTTTTTCACTAACAAAACGGGACTCGAAAAAGGACTGTTGCTCGGCTGAATCACCTCCGCTTCCAACATGTCTTTTACTAATTTTTCTATCTCATCTTTTTGGTAATGGGGATAACGATAAGGTCTCACATTGACTGCATCTGTTCCCTCCTTCAACACAATTTCGTGTTCCTTACCTCTCCTCGGTGGTAACCCTTTTGGCATATTGAATACTTGCTCAAAGTCTTCCAGAACAGATTGTACCTTTGGCCCTACTTCCTGCACTTCATCATTCATCAATGCATAAGCTCCCAACTCCACCAAAACAACTTGTCCTTCTTGTTGGATCAATTTCCCCATTGCCTTTAATGAAACCAACGATTTCCCTAGAGCAGGATCACCTTTTAGTCCAGCGATTTACCTCCGAGCATGAACTTCATAACTTGCTGTTTCTAATTGGTGTACGTTGCTCCTAAGGTTTCCAGCCATTGAATTCCCAAAATCACTTCACTGTTTCCCAATTGTATGGGCAGAAAATCTTCTACCACCTCCAAACTTTGCACATTCAACACAACATACTTAAAAATTCCATCACCCTTCACTTTGTTCCCCATTCCCATCGTTATAGAATACTCCTTCGTTTTATCAATCTTCAAATTCAACTTATCTACTATATCCTTGGAGATGAAATTGTGAGTTGCTCCACTATCGAGAGGATTACCACTTTTTGACCTTCTATGCATCCTTCCATCTTCATAGTTCTCGGATTCGTTAGGCCTACTACTAAATTAAGATGAACTTCTACTTCTTTACTCATCTCAATCACGTTGGCGCTATTCAGCACTTTGTCATCTCTACTTCGCCACCGGAATCCATCGTTTCCTCCGCTTGTACTAACAAAACGTTCAACTATTTTTTCTTACACTTATGGCCTGGAGAGTACTTCTCATCACAACGATAACAAAGGCCCAAGGCTCGTTTCTGTTGAACCTCCTGATCCGACAGTCTCCTATACTCCGATCCTGATTTGTTTATCGAATTGTTCACCGAATTAGAAATGTTTACTGTTTCTGCCTCACCAGTAACAATCCTACTATCTGAGAGCGTTGAAACTGATTTTTTTGGTACTGAAAATGTTCTCTCCTTAGCGATCACAACGTTTTTAACTTCGATTTTCATAGTCATCTCCATCGCCTCCTCAAGTGTTACTGGATTGAGAAGTCGAACCTCTGCTTTGATCGAATTCTCCAAACCGTTGATGAATTGACTCATGAATACCTCTTCCGGAATTCCTTCCAATGGTGCCGCCAGTTCCACAAACTTCATCCTAAATTCATCGAYTGTACCTTCCTGTTTGACGGCCAAAAATTGCTCGCATAAAGTTCCAGCCGCTGCCGATCTRAATTGACGAAGGATTAATTGACGCAAATCCTCCCATCGTGAAATCGGATGTCGACGATTCTCCCACTGAAACCATTTCAGAGCGGCGCCTTCAAATGCCATAAAGTATGCATCGATTTTTTCCACTTGTGTCAATCGATTTAGAGAAAAATAACGTTCTGCACGAAGAATCCATCCATCAGGATTAGTTCCGTCGAAGGAAGGAATTTCCAGTTTACGACCTTTCATGGCGAAGAATCGACTCGATCCCTACCTCTCCTCGTTCTTCCTCTTCGATTTAGTTGATACTTCGTTGCTTAAGTTTTCCAATTGCTGAAAAATCTTCTCCAAATTCTTCTCCATCAACTGTTGATTCTTCTCTATTAGCTGTTGATTCTTCTCAATTGAACCAACACAGCTTTCCAAATCATCCATTTTTGCTATCGCACTTCTCGTTCCCATGGTTGAATCGAACTCGCTCTGATACCAATTTGATGTAAATTGGTCGTAATCGGTGGTTTTTCTATTGAATTGAATTGAAGAAATGGAATTACACGGCTTTCAAGAGGCCGACTCTCTCCCCCTGAGCTTGCGCCCTTTTACAACTCACAAAACAGAATGAAAGCTAATTTAACAAACTCCCCACTATAAAGGAGCTGTTTCCATTATTCTATTGAGGAATTGCCAAACTACCCTCCTCTTATTTACATCTAAAGTAAACTCAACTACTTAGACTTTCTTTTGTACGTAAAGCGAATAGTAGGCTTATCAGATTTCTAGATTTGCAGGAAGGTAAATGGGGTTAGACAGTAAATGGTTTCAAACTTTGAAAAATACCAAACATGTGTGCAAGACGAGCTTAGCACCACTACATATATATACATACCCTCTATCTATATATATAACATAAGTAGCATATTGAAACAATCTATATGACACAACAGGAAACTCTGAACAGGGACGGACCCAGAAATTTTTTCAAGCGGTGGCACCATTTGACTATAAGAAATAAATATAGGGATATTTTTCACAATATCATCATTGGTTTGTTCATTGCTTTTCACATGTGAGGTCATGTGTGCAAGTCTTTTTATTGCCATTTTTTTTCAAAAACATAATAAATCTAACATTAAAAGCTAAAAACCAAGAAAATGACACTAAAGGGATTGGAACTCGGTCCGGGGTGGAAGAAAAGCCTTGTGAAGCAATTTTACCAAGGAAAATTTGTGTCGTCATTGTAGTTAAAATATATAAAGTGACACACAACAAGTTGATACGATGGCACTTTTCATGACCCTATAATATTTTACACTATGACAGAGGAACGAAACGGTGGCACGTGCTACCACAAAAAACCCCTGGGTCCCTCCCAGACTCTATATGACCACTTCGAACTTGAAATAAAGTAAGAGGTATCTAGGAAATCACTACATAAATTGGTTAGAGAGAAGATATTTATGAGTTGCAGTCCTTACCTATTTGATACGGATGGTTGGTAGACAGATGGGGCAATGCGACATCTCAGTTTTAAGTTATCTGCATCGAAGATACCAATGTTGCCATCGCAAAAGGATGCATAAACTAGTTGACTGTTGCAGGAGTACATAGCATAAGATATAGGAGCTGTAAGGTTGTCCTGAGGGACCCACTGCAAACCAAAATTTGTAAAACGTTCTGTTACTGCTACTTTTGTTGCTATTAGTGTATTACTACACCTACTATTATGATTACTATTGCTGAGAAAGTAGCTTGGCTCATTCATCTTCTGGACAATCTAGTCCACAAACATCCTTCCATTAACCCCACCTTCCTCAAGGTCAGGGGTTCAAGATGAGATATATAAATATTATATACTTGATAAAAAAACTTCCATTAATTTTTTGGGAAGATATTGTAAGGTTATTGCAGTAATTGTTCCAATACGATGAGCAAGATTTGTACCTGACATATGCATTCCATCTTGGAGGCATCATACAGTGCCAGTTGTGTTTCATGGGATACCAGCAAGCGAATCTGATCAGAATGGAACTGCACACGTGTTTCAGCAGAAGAGAGGCTACCAGGAGGCAGTTGTATCGGAACCAACTTCCTCTTCTCCCATGAATCAATGCTCCAAAAACAAAGCTGCAAGATAGGAGGGATTTTATATACCTTGCAATGTACTGTACTAACAAGTACATAATTTTTTCTCAAGTACGTATATAATACTCGCACACACTCCTCACCTTTTGTGAGGTTTGAACCCTCGACCTCTAGGAGTTTGGGATCTTATGGGTACCCCGGATACTGCTGGGCTAAAGACCCTTTGGTAAGTAGAGAAATTTAACATCATCAGCACACACAAAGAAGGGGAAAAAGGACTTAGAGCAGTTGAAGTCCCTCCCATACAAAGAAATAGAAGATGCTGGAAGGCCATGATAGAAATCAACACAAACTTAAGTTATGACACATGATTTCATCATTATAAACCAGCTGTGTGCCCGTGTGATGCAACGTGATGTAAAATTTTATTGTAACCTGATAGATGGAAAATTAATGCAAATTCCTCGTTATAAATGAAAATCCGAAGTTTATGTTTGGACAAAATTGAGATTACAAATGGTGGTTGAACATGACTTGCTAATTTGAAGAACCATTTAAAAGAACCCAAAAAAATATAGATATGGCTGTCAAAAAAAATATTACAAAATTCCCCTTCTTCGGCATAACAAGCTTAATTCAAAATTTTATTAAAATTTAGAAAATTTAGTAGTGCTCAACACTTATCCCGCATTGGGACATGTCTATCGGTTAGTTTTATGGAGTTCAAAAGCGGAGTTTTAAGAAGTTGTGCGTATGCAGTAATAAATTGTAAAACTTAAACTTTAAGAGACTTTAAGAACAAGGGGTAAATGCTTTATGTTGTAAAACTTGAACTTTAAGAGACTTTAAGAACAAGGGGTAAATGCTTTATAAATAGTAAAGATAAAGACATAAAGAGAACCTAAGCCTAAGGAACCAAATCTTCAGATTTACCAGCATCTATAAATTCACATTAAATTTGTCCTAAATAGAATTATAGAAACAATGATAGCATTCTAGCAGTAAGTCCTTAAAGGAAAGAAACTCACTTGAGCATCAGCAGCAGATGAAACCAATATGTTTAAACTGGTAGAAAAAGCTAAGCCAGTTATCCTCTTCTGGTGACCTCTCAGCTTTGATTTTACCTAAAAAACCATAGTTGTTTACTTTAGGTCAGATCCTGTATTTAATTAATAAAAAAGCAAGATATAGAGAATCACATATAAAATAAAATCACCTCATCCACCCTAACATTATATATGTGTATTGTTGAATCCTCCATTCCAATGGCTATGACATTGTTATCTTGAGGATGAAATGCTAGGAAGGTTGAAGCAGGAGGCGGCGGCATGAATGTTGTCATAACCTAAAAATGTATATCCAAGCTTGCATTACTCAACTCAGCATTAATCATTAAACTAGAAGCGACACCAAAAATCCCAACCAACCCGTCAACCAGCCAAACCCAACCCGAAAATAAACTGATTTAACCCAACCCATCAAACCAACAAACCGTCAATTAATTGGGTTGGAGTTGGGTCAAGCCTAGCTTAACCAAACAGAACCCGATGGCCAACCCACATAGATTGGGTTGGGTTGGGATGTTTCTAAGCTACCATAACTCGGTAGGGTTGTTCAAATGCCTCGACAAGCTCAACCTAACCCGTGTGCACCCTAGAAGTAGACAATCTATATAGGTGCATGTATACCTTGAATGTCATCATATTGAACAATGAAACCTTTCCACCTGAAGCAGACATCACATATGAATCATTTTTTGACAAAGCTATGCACGGAACTACTTCTTCAAGGTTGACACCTGACACATCATTAGTCATAAGAAGACCACTGTTTGGTTGCCAATGCTGTGGAATAACATTGGCAGTGGCCTTTAAACATCACCCATGTTAGAAATTAATAATGGTTACTCATAAAACAAGGAGTAAAACATGAATTCTTTTTGTATAACTAACATATATGATGGGCCTTTTCCATGCTGAAATGACAAAATCCACAATGTTCTATAACTAAGTAGCATGAGGTACAAGTCATTACAACACGATTGCCCTGCATTTCTTTATGTCAACGCTGGAAAAAGATTTACCTAACACAAATCAAGTCTATTACCTTTCCGGTTGGATTTTGTTCATTGCGGGCCCACTTCCACAGCCTTTGAGTACCATTTGATCCGAGAGCTAGAATGCCTACCCCGGAATTTGTATAAAGAAGTCGAGAAACCTGCATAGTAAATATATCAGTCAGCATCATGCAGCAGTTATATTAGCAAAATCAATGATTAAAATACCTTGTTCGAGACTTCTGTGCTGTCTGGGATGGTAACCAGCCGACACTGTGCAGCATCTAAAATTTCAGTCAACTGCCAGGGTTTCGTCCTATCAGTTACATCATCAAGACTCCTTGGTTTTTCCATGTTTCTACCCACAGAATCAGTACCGTTCTAAAAATGATATGAACAAGAACACAAAAAATAATCAGCACTAATCAGCAGCTAACTTTTCTTCTTTAAACAGTCAGAGCAGATAACTTTCTGTAATTGTCAATATGAACTTTGCCAGAAAAAAAAAATACTATATCATACCCCGACATAGATACAATACAACTCAAAAACATCCATGCTTGCAAATAAAATAATGCTTATAATTTCCAGAAAATCAACATATGATTCACATCCAGCATATAGTACTGCATCAAGGGGGTGTCATCTCTGACAGTTCAATACTTAGCAATTTCAACTCCTACCCATATAGTTTGGACAAAAAGATATCATTTTTAGTGTAGCATATTTGGATGTTTAAAAAACAAGGGAGAGAGGAGGAGAAGAGAGAGAGAGAGAGAGAGAGAGAGATGCATTGTCAACTCACAAGAACGCTGGAAGGTCTGGCAGGTGAGCTTTTCTCCACTTTGCAATTAAATGGACTAGCATTATTAATAGCCGAAGAGCTAGAAATCTGTTCACAGTCTTTTAAAAATTATACACTATAATTGTTAGAAAACAAATCGAACAACATTAAAAGAGTGTGCACCTTAATTGCAGCAGGTTCAATGGAGGATTTTAGTGCTTCAAACGATGGAGCTTCAGTTGCTCTTAAAGACCTGAGACCAGCAGCATTTGCAAGAATCTTGATCCCATTGTCAGAAGTAGTGACAGCAAGAAGATTTCCTTCTTTGTTGAATCTCAAGCGAGGAAGACTCTGAACCAATCATTAGTGTCAGTCAATACCTGGTTCGATATTTATCCTTCACCCAGCAGGGGCATACAACATGATGCAAGTATTAGCCTCACATAAACTACACTGGATGCATATACTAACCGGAAGTCCACCATCAGCATCTGTGATTGCAACAATATTAGGATTATCCATGTCCCAAAACTTAATTTGGTTTTCTTCACCAACAGCCAAAAAGTGGTTCCGAGTTGAGTCAAACTGTACAACACCAGCAGATTTTTTTCTGAACCCAGCATATGTCCTCTTCAAGGCTCCTTCACTTTCATTCCATTCAACGAGAAAAGAATCCCCTTCTTTACTAGTTCCAGAAGAAAACAACCTAAAAGAAAGTAGAACATAAATTCTCAAATATGCATGATTCATGTCAATACAATTTTTGAAGGGTCATTAGTAAGAGTCCATCCAAATTTTTTGCTTCCTGAGATTCAACTAACTTACCGACTGCCATCAGCACTGTATAGCATAGTCGTGCAGCCATGACCAGGAGCATCATAGTCAACTCTAGATCCCACGTTGTCATACAACCATGCCTTGATCTTCCCGTCAGTTGCAGTTGAGAAAATGAACTGAAATTTTACAGAAGAAAGTTACTATCCAATTGATGTGTATTCAACCTATTGAAAATAAAGTGAAGTCCCTGAGCATAACTTTTCTCTTGGTGCGGGTACTGTACAGAAACCAAAATAGATAAACAGGGATAGATAAAGGAGATAACTTTCTATAAGTGATATGGATTTTAGAAACATCCAAACGATTGGTTACCAGAGACTTCCGTGTAACCAAACAAAACCAACCCAACCCAATATATCCCGGCTCGGAAGTAGGGTCAGGGGTGCACGCAGAGTCTTAAACATGTTCTCTACTCAAACGAGTAGAGCAGTTAAGATCCCTGGTGATGCAGGTGCAATAGAGGAAGAGTTGGACTTGTGTGCAACCGTGTGTGATAACACCTGTACAACACTAGCAACACAAGTCAAGACCGTTATCTTCAATAAAGACACTTTAAATTGAATGATCAAGTTGTGTAATATTTATATTTATCATCTTTTCTAGAACATTAGATTTTATTAAAGTTTCCTTAATAAGTTAGCTTATTTAGTTTCCTAAGGTGATTAGGATCTTTTATTTTATCTCCTTATCCTAGATTGAAGGTTAGTATTTTATTCAAGTTTCCTTAGTAAGTTGTTTTTCTTTACTTTCCTTAGTAAGTTGTTTTTCTATAGTTTCCTAAGTTTCTAGTATCCTTCCTTTTAGAGGAGCTTGGCTTGCCTATAAAACCCCCCTTTGAGGCTCGTTTTAAGGCTTTTCTATTTTAAATAAGAATTTCTGAATTTGAGTGTCCTTAATTTTGTTTTCACTTATCACAAGAGATAAGGGCCTTTTGTGTGGCATGACAACCTTATCCTAAGTAAACCCATATGTGGCGGTTAATCCTCACCTACCTTACAAACATTAACGACCTTTCAAACGCAAGAGTTCTGTGTTTCCCCCGTGTCATGAGGATTATGAAAAAGCGTAAACAGAAAGGATTTGACAAAAAGAGTGTAAACAGAATATTGTGTCAAAAAAACCAAAGAGCTTGAAATAGCTTGTAAAATACGATGATTAATTAAGAGAACTAAGACTAGTATATAGTTTGTAACAACTAGAGTGCCAAACTAACATAGTTTGTAACATATGGAGTGCCAAAGTCGACATAGTTTGTTAGAAGAGTGGAGAGGAAGTTTCTGTGGAACACAATTAAAAGGCGTATAACAGCTCTGTGGAAAATAATTGAACAGCTTATAACAGCTTGAGTGGCACACTCAAAACACAACTTGTTAGAATAAATATAGTGATATTTTTAATACAATGTAAGTATAGTGCTAGGTGAAGAGACTGGTATTTGTCGTCTCGTAACTATAGGTAAAGACACTGCTCCTAGTTGAACCATGATGGTGGCAAACATAAAACATGTGCTCCTGATGGTATCAACAGCCAGAGAAATGTTGGAAGGAATTCAAGTTTAGAAATTCATTGCAGTTGTTGACATTTTTTAGGCCTATAACTTTCACAAATGATCATGTTTTTTATGGATAAAGAGGATAGTACCCTAGGAAAAATTAAAAGAGACAGAAAATAGATTATATAATCAACAACACATAACCTCCTATCCCTCTTATTCAAGAAAAGAAGAGCCAAGCTGTTTACTGTAATATCGCCCATTATGTAGCATAAATGTTGGTCCATGAAGGAAAGCAAAAAATTGGTCCATGTGGGCATCAACATAAATACAATTCCTTGTATGAAGACATGATAATGTAACTATTCTAGAACGTCCGCGACATTATACTACAAGAGTACAATGAACAAAAAAGGCCTATCAAGAAACGAGGAATAATCGAATAGAAAAGCGTTATGGGTGACACCTTAGAATGGATTTCTGAGATGTAGGAAATACATGTTTTTAGCCTATACCAAAAATTCTAACGCAGAGACTTTGTATCTTTCACTCTCCTCCATCTCATAAACAAATTGAAAGGTGTCAACTGCTCTCGCTTCTTCATATGTATTAAACAAGCATGCTTTAAAGATAAAGAGTGCAGATTTAAATTGATGAAAATCACCCTCCAAAAAGTTGTTACGGCTTATTCCCCCAGTGGAGAACTTGAAGTAATATGTTCCAGATATTTCTGCTTTAGTAATATCTGGCATACCTGGATATTCTCTTTTTGGTGAGGGCATAAAGAGTAAACCGGTGCTTCATGTCCTTCAAAATTAAATAATTTTCGGCCAGTTAAATCCCATACCTGATCCATTTCCCTGTTAGTTTCTTGCTAAGATAATAGGAGATAATTTTTGTATTATGGAACAGAATGTAATGCTACCTTTATTAACTTATCATCCCCACAAGTAACAACACACAGCTGTTTGTTTGGATGAGCAAAGGCCAAGTCATTTACTCCTCCAACATGGGCATCAATCTGCGAAGCCAAGCAGATGCAGTTTAATAAATGCATACACTTTCCCTTGTTAGACAGGCAGCACAATCCCAACTCACCTCCAAATGGTGACGAATATCATTTGGTGCAGTGTAAGCATACAAATGGATCAAATGTTTACTAAATGCAGAGCCTGTAACATGTGAAATGTTAAAAAAAGCATCTGCAACTTTATTAGAACTGAGCAAATATCACGTACCAAAAAAGTTTCCATCTGGACTCCACATAACACGGTTCACAGATATGGGTGTATCCTTGAAAGAAGCCTGCCCAATGTCTTGACTATGAGAATCAAGTTAACATACTAAGCAATGTAGAAGAGTGTTATTCACCACAATCTCATTCATAAAACTTCAAATCTGCGACTCACCAGCATCAATGTGGTGTATAATAATTTTTTTAACAGGTCTACTTGTTTAAGAAAGTAAAATGCTTGCATATTTATATGGAATAAGAATGATATTAGAGGGAATTCTATATCATGTTCATGAAATTGGATCATGCGGACCTGAAAGGCTAAGGAACAAGCTGACATGTCCCAAATCTTGAATAACTTTGATGCCAGTTTCTCGCGCAGCCCAACATCCCATAGTGTGATTTCACCATTAGCAGATCCAACTGATAACCACAAAATTTAAAATCAGGCAACTTCAATTATAGGTAGGATTTGGCCAACCTTCTGCATTTCAAGGGGGTGAAACATCATCTATAGCAGACTCCAGTTTTCCGGACACTTATACCTAGAAGCAATGTTTGGTGAGAAGGATGAAAATCCATGGTTGTGACAATGGATTCTTGATGCATGCTAAAGGCTACTGTTCTTGGCAGGTCGTCCACAGACCAGGAAACTTGTCTCATAATCGGATATGTAACCTGAGGCGGTGCACCAGCATGCTGATGGATTTCATGCATGCGAGAATCATTAGCACAAAGTTTCCTGAAAAAATATCAACACCGAGTATAAAATGCAGTTGTTAGTTTAGAGTACCTCCTCAACAGGCTGTGCAGGGCGCAAACGTTTCATCAATTGCTCATGCTCATTGTTCTGATAGTCAGCAATACCCAGTGTAGTAGGAGGTGTTATAGGACGTTTTAAAATGGAAACTGTATAGCATTAAAAGATAACAGGTGAATAATCTCAGCATAGATACAAAATTTTGCAATTAATAGGTGAAAGTTATAAGATTAGGATTCAAAAATTTGGCATTGTGCTATATATCTCAGCAAATCTTCCTAGTTAAATCTTTTTGCGTTGCTATAGAATTATCAGGGGGTCATGAACCTTCAGCATGCAAAAAGTCATTAAAGTTCCTTTTGGTTTCATTTCTATTCTTTAACATCATTTCATGAGGAATTTTAATAAATTTGAGATGTAAATCAAATATAAGTTGCCATTTAGCATGCAAAAATGAACAAAACTAACAAGAAGTAATGCATATTACTATACGCCAAAATGATCTTCAAAGAACTAAAAGGATTCATAATTTTACATTACACAGCACTTTGAGAGCATTAATGAAATCAGATCTGGAACTCCTAACCTTGATTTGGTGGACCAGGTAAGGACGATGCAGTAACAACAGCTGCCTGGACCGACGAAGAAGAAGCAGCAGCATTTGCCATCCAACCTGCTAAAGCATTGGCATTTGCAGTGGCTGCCACAGTCGGAAAAGGCTGCAACAGAATCACATGTGGCCAGTTCATCATAAGTTTGAATATTTAACCAAGGACAAGCATAAGAGTTACAATAAGAAATATAAATATTGATAGAAAAAAGTTATCATACACCATGAGCTCCGAGCGATGAATAAGCAGCAGATTTTGTGACTGCAGCAGGTGGAAGATTGACAGGTGTGGGTGCAAGGGCGCCATTTGGAGGTGTACATGAATGGTCGGTGAAAAGAGTCTTAATATCTGGGTTTGGCCTTGGATTCTTACACAGCTGGTGCTGCCAATTCAAACTGGAGAGACCACAAAACTATGATTTACCTTCCTAATTACAGAAGAAAACTGCATACAATTACAAATTAATGGAAATTGGCAGCTTATGCGAAATAATAAAGACACACAACAAATTTCTAGTATTTACTGAAGCAACAAAGATAAAGGCATGTACAATGATGAAATTGACCAAAAAATCTGACGCCAAATCAATGTATGGATCATTCTAGGGAAGCAGAACACAGTAAAAATTAGACTACCATAAGATATTCTAAATTATAGGACATTGAAAAGGGAGAACAAAGTTTGCCTAACAAAAAGAAAAGGTACTAGTGTGTGGGTGGGATGACTTGGAAGGGAGGCGAAGAAATAGAAGTTTGACCCTTCAATAACAACTCAGATAGTATGCCCGCCAATCCATCACTCCCAATATACAAAAGAAAAGCTTAGCCAGCATTTTCATACACAAAAGTAGAAACCATACCTTTGGTTAATTAGAGTACGCAATCTCGATGATTTCAAGGTAGGAAATACAAGCTTCTCGCGGAAAAGAGGGTTTGCTTCTATTAGCTTTTTAAGCTCGATCAACATAATGCTACGAGCTGTTTTAGTATCACCATATTTGGATAGCTGCTCATTTTCCCTGGCATAACAAGTCCATTAGAAAACTGTTAGTAACAAATAGTAACTTAAAGCAATCTGCCCAATTTAGAATAGAAAATAAACAATCAATTCGTACAGTATAATAATCTAGAAAGACAACCAGAATTCTCAATCAAAATTATCCCTAAATCAAAATTATCCCTATTTCGAGCAACACATTGGACAAGAGAGCGACGTTCTTCAGCAAAACATGAGAATATGCAATATTCCTTCCCCCTATGCTCAATTTCAAGATATTTTTATTTTCTGTTGGAAGCTCAAGTTGGTAGAAACTGTAAAATGATATCAACTTACTGACAATTTTGACACAAGCTTCTAATTTCATTGAGAGATTTGCAGAAAACAAGTTGGATATTTCAAATGGAAAAGAAAAACATTTGACATCCATCCTTTACCAGCTATATCCATCCTTTGCCTCTCTATATTGTCATACTTCCAACTAGCAATCTAGATTGGATATTTAGCACTAGATATTGATGTTTAACTAACCTGAAAACTAACTCATGTTTCAGAATGACAAAAAATCTTTTAAGATTTTTTTCAATTTTATATTGAACAACGAAAAACTAACAATAACTAATCAGTTGCTATGCAGGAATAGACTTCCAAAAATTTGCAAAAAAAAAAAAAATACTTAACCTGAAATTTACAAGCGTCAATAGCTGTGTGATTTCCTTATACAAATCTTCATTGAATGTTGAGAAGACTTTCAAATCATTTACCAGTATCTCAACTGCCTTCGCCTTGTCTTGCCTAATCAATTCAGTCACAAAGAAAAATACATGATTGACATCATAAGCGTTTTAATGTAATATACGCTTACCTAACACCACATTCACACCAGATTCAGTCTACTCTTACCTATCAAGAGCTTCAAGATACTTTTGCTTCCTAATTTCAAAAAAAATCTTCATCGAGTATCTGTTATCATCAACCTTGGTATATCCAGCCAGATATTTCTCAACTTCATCCCATTCACCAGCATGAACTTTCTCCTCAAAATATTTGACATTGAAAAAAAACCCAGATTCCTGCTCAAGCCTGGGACATGAGATATGTAATTGCGTTACTCAATTTAACCAACCAAACAACCCAGCCAAACAAAACTTTCTTCAGTTCTCTGATCAATGTGATAAATCATACGTTACTAAACATAAACTTTGCTTAAAGAATCATAAATCAAATTAAACCTTTTATCCCCAAGCACATACCATAATTAATCTAACTATTAATTCCCTCTATTTTTCCCATTATCATCATCATACAAGAAATATTTTAAATACTATCACAATAATGAAAAAAACAAAAAGAGCATACGATGTGCTAAAAAGGATATCTATAGGACAAGGACCTTCACACCAATTGAACCTCAAACAACGCCATCGGATGGTTTCACATATTAACTAGACACGTCTCCGACAAACTAGATAAAACAAAAACATGCATACATCTACATATACAAAGTTTCCTATACATACATATATACTTCTGCATATAAATACCTGTGCACAGATTCCTTAAATTTCTCTTCCTCCAGAAATTGGAGTATGAGAAACACCAATTCTCTACCCAACGAGGACATTCTAACAATTTATCATCAACAGAGAAGAATACAAGTAATGAGTTACCGATTACAGCAAGCTGATTTCTAGGGTTTTCTGGTAAAAGGAAAAGGTTTTGTTTTCAAAGGCTGCGAAGAACAGAGAGAGAAGAGGAGAATGGTGTGGGGGTGAAAGGACTTGGTCTCGTTATCCTAGATGCGTTTTTTTCTGCAGAGAAGTTATATTATCCGTCTTATCAAGTTATAATGACAATTACTTATCATATCATTCATTGCACGGGTTTGATAAGTAATTGGGCTTATCATTGCGTGTGGTAGTAAATGCGGTGGGTGCTGTTTGGCGGATTTGAAACGAGTGATTGAAATATGGTTGAATATTCGGGTTCAGTTACGTACTGAAATTCCATTTATGTTGTTTTTATTTATCCAAGTGTCATTTTCATCTTCCAATTAATTATTTCCAAATTCGCGGTATTTATTAAATTTTTTAATTTCTCATTGACGATATTATGATTTGTTGTCAAGAGGAGATATTAAAAATATATGGTTAATTATATTATATTATAGGAAATTTTATTAAAATAATTAAATAATACCTCATATATTAATAAAATAATCATTTTTTTCAACTATTACTAAATTAACCACAATGATTGCCCAAGGAGGCCATGTCTAACCATGGGGCGATCTAGCCATATTTGACCAAACAAAATACGAAGAAAATATTTTAAATTAATTTATAGGGCTTACATCTATTTGATTTGGGGAACAATATCTAATTTTTCTTGAATAGGGGATTGTCCCCACCTAACCCTAGATCTTCCTTCGGGGGCGACTCCATCTATATTGAACATTGTTTTGTCTTTTAGTGTAGAAATCGATTTGACAATTAAGAGGTGTTTTTAATAAATGGGAGATGATTTTGACTGTTTTAGGACCAAATATTGTGATTTTACTCTATAAAATCAAACATTTCTAATCTCACAACTCATAATCCTAAAACATAATCTACCATGACAACCCTTAACACAATATGAAATCACGTCAAGATTTATAATTTTTACTACTTTTATTAAATGCATAAATTAACCAACGAATGTTTTTTATATTTTCTTATAAGAATTATATTTTTTATAACCACTGAATGTTAATATTTTTTAGTAATTGTTGATACGAAAAAATGTATTTGTATCTGATTTGGGGGACAAAAATAAGATATTATATCTGAAAAATGCCATATTTTTATAACCACGTACTTTGACCGCTATTTTGTCATTTAGTGGCCTATAATTTGAGATTTATTTTGTCTTATTACGTAACGGTTTATATAAATAGGCGGTCAGAGGGGAACATTATCACGATCCCCACCGACATCCATCGCTAGAAACACTCCCCCTTCCAGCATTCTGATCCCCCTCGACCATCGACCATCGATTACCGTCCGCCGAGCACTGACGACCACCGATCGCCGTCCACCAACATCCACCACCGTCTGCCACCAACCACCAACGTCTGCCCCAACTACCGTCGTCCATCTCAGCCATCGACCACCTTTCGTCGCCACCTACCATCGTCTGCCGCCACCGACCACTGTGTGCCTCCACCAACCATCGTGTGCCGCCACCTACGACCGTCTCCCCCCACTAAACACCATGGAACAACCACCTACCACTATGGAATAACCGGTAAAAATTCGTAATATTACTTAAAAATCTATTTTTTGTTTAGTATCTAGCTTAATACTCTATATTTTATTTTTTTCTCTAGATTAATTTTGTATAATCTCTAACATTTAATTTTTGGATTTATTTTTGACAGGTGTTCTACCAGTCGTTACTGACGTTGAGGGCTCATACCTCAATAATTAAAGAAATAAATGATATATTAGCAAATAATAGAAGGAGGTTAAACATGTTACGAGATACATGTTTCGGCCCATGGTTAAATATATCTAACCATTATTCAGATTAATTAATTGATTGTGCAATGTGAGGACCTCTCTTTCCCTTCTGAATTTGAAGAAATATATTATCGTGTTGGAGGGTTCCATTTACGATTCAGTAGACATGAGTTTTGTTTGATCATGGGTTTCCGATTTAGGTCGGATCTTTGTCCATCACATTGTACCATACCTAAAATAATTACAAGATTGTTTGGTAAAATGACCAAACATGATAATATTAAAGTCGAACATTTTAGAAATAAACTAATTGACTTAAATAATAAAGATATATCAGACGTTGATGCAGTGCGTATCAGCCTCGTAATCATGCTCCATACGGTGTTCCTGGGACGAAAAAAGAATCACAATAACCAACATTGGATTTTGCATCTAGTTGAAAATTTAGATGTCTGGAACCAATACCCGTGGGCTCGTATATATGGTGACATATCAACAGCTGAAAAATGCTTTCGAGCACCGCAGACACAGAAGTTGGCCGCTGAATAAATACACATTATATGGTTTTATATATGCCTTCAAGGTTGGTTATCATTTTTTTTATAATATTGTATTTACTGATTAATTTACATTTTCTCACCATGTTTTTTTTTTCGTAACCTACCAGATATGGATTTTGGAGACATTCCCCCGAGCGAACAATTTTTTCTTTATAATCCATCAATCCCAAGGTGGATATTTCATCCTCGTATCTTGCCCAATAAGAATCGGAGTTGAACCAAACAGAACAAAATAACTGCAATCTTGAATATCTAAACTTCGAGCAACAGATAGTACATGACTGCAAGGTATACCAGGAAGTTGCCATTGCATGCATTAGCATGCAAATCGCACTTTCCTTTCTTATACATGTCATCAACTTCAAACAACAAATTGCTAATGGGATATACCTTCCAATTTGCTTCTATGGATTCTCTTTTCTATTTTTGCCTCCGCCCAAGGTGTCGCTGCATTTATCATTTAAGCTGCAAATATTTGATAACATTAGTCTATGCTACATATAGTTTTGGATGGTTGCATTTATCTCTATTATGTCGATGTATAAAATATCATTGTTGCAATGTTTCCTGATAAAATTCGACTAACAGTGTTATCTGAAGGTAATGTGCAAACCGGGTTACTGAGTTGATGGACTCATCACAGTTAGAAATCATTGCACTGTAACGCAATCCAGGGAAGTGCGATCTTGCCCATCTAGCGAAACCAACTTCCTCAAGATATTAAGCAACATTAGGTAGATTGTGTCGTATCAAATTATTGTAGCTTCAAAGTCTGACACCCTATAAGCTTTGCATGCCTCCCAGAACATCCACCTTTTTCTTGTCTCTACTCGAGGTTAGGTGCAAGTTTTGGCTCAAATGCCGACAACAAAGTCTGTGGTGTGCGTTGGGGAATATAGTTCTTATGGCCAACTCGATAGAGGCATCCCTATCGATTATGAATGTTAAATTGGAAACTTCACCGATATATTGCCTCAGCTTATGTAAAACCCATGTCCATGACAAGCCACTTTCTGTCTTCCCCACTCCTATTGCAATGGGTACGATATGGTTGTTATCATCCATGTCGACTGCTAAGAACATTGTTCCCACGTATGACCTCTTCAGATGGGCACCGTCCATTATAAGAAGTGGTTGCAGGTGTCCTAGAAATAAGCGAATCTGCAGATAAACGAGGTTACAAATATAAACTTCAAAACATAAAATTATGACAATAATTCTATAATATAACAAAAATCATTACCGAGCAATCGAGTGCAACAAACAACATGTCAAATCGTCCTCGTCCATCAACAATGATCTCTGTCATAGTCCTCAGATTTGCTATCTTCAGATTATGACAATAAATCAAGAGTAGGTTAAACGACGATTCAGGGTCCCCTTCAACAGTTACAAGACATACATCTTTGCTCGCCATGCTTAGCTGTAGGAGATGCTAATATTGAACTGTTCGTTCACATCTTCCATGATTTCTTTTCCACGGTACATTTTCCTACAATTCTTTAAACTCCCTGCCAATATATGGCCCAAAACCTTTTTATTCGCATTACAGTGGTTTGGGTGGACTTGGGACCTTTAACATGCGTGTTCATCATGCAATTTCCGTACCTGAAACATTGGTACCATCGATAGAAACAACCATTAAATGCCGATCATAGTCCAAAGCAGAGTGACACACCGCCTCGTACCGGTGTTCAGTTGATTTCTTAACCTTGATCTGGAAGTTTTCGTAAACGCATTTAAATCCCAATGCGAGCTTTAGTGCTTCCTTCGAGTAAAAGGTTTGGAGAATTTTACATGGGATATAGGCTGTTAGGAAATGTTTCCCTGTATAGGTTTGATAATAGGGTCTGGGCAAGGTGTTGGGTTGGGCATACCCCAAAAACTATTTCTCATTGGATGGATTTCTTCAGTATATGAGTTATCGTCTCCAGGTATATTCAAAATTTCTGCTACAATAGAAACATCTTCAGCCATATCTACCTCCTACAAAGTTTTTGACTGTTCTGGAGATTGGTACAGAGACTATCTCGAAGAGTGGTTCAGATCTTGAACCATAACTATCATGATCAATAAGATTTTTTTGGTTCAAAATATGAATTTCCACCAACACCACAGGGGGAAGAAAATTTTGGATTTCAACTACTACCACCGGGGTAAAAAATGTTTGGACCATATGGGTTTGCACCATTACCGCGGGGTAAATTTTGATGGATTATGGCACTTGATGAATTTCCACCATAACCACCATCGTTGACAACAAAGAGTGTCAACATTTCTGGTAAACTTTGATGAACAACGTTCTAGAATATCATTACATTGTCGTCACCGTTTAACTCATATAATTTTTGTAAGGAATTCGTTTTATAAAATAACACGAAAGGACTACATAATCTTAACTTTTTTGTAACATGTTTAACCAAACCAGAATGTGTTATTGGCGAAGCAAACGTAATACACGTATGAGGGATCTTAACGGCATATACTCTAAGGCACCACTTATCTCCTAGAATGAACCGCCACTTTGAACATTCACCAAAACATAATCATTTTGACGTGATTTCATATTTGTGTTCAAAGGTGAAGGATTGTGATGGTAGATTGTGTTTAATGAGTTAATGTTTAACGGTTGTGATGATAGATTGTGTTTAAGGTTTAAGGGTTGTGAGAGTAGAAGTG